TGCTATGGAGGGAACAAAAATCCCCCCTCCAAAGATGGCAGAATGACTTATTAGGTCATTCTTCAGTATGATGGGGAGCTGTTGTACTGTCCTATAGATGAAGCAAAGGATTTTTTATTTTTTTTTCCTTTTTAAGTTACACAGCAACACTGCCAGAGTGGCAGAGTCCCGGCTCCTTGTGCTCTGCAGACTATCAGGACTGTGCCATGAGCAGTCACCAGCTGGGATGGAGTTTGGGTTATTTCATGTGAAGCAAGGGAAACAATTGTAGCCAGTAAATCTCTCCTGCACAGCTGGATTTAAGAATCACCAGCTTTATTACTTTCCTGATGCATAGTGTTCATTTGTTCACTCATTCCTACTATCTTATTGACTTACCTGCATGACTTAGAGTATACAAACCTTTTAAGGGATTGATTTTGGAGCGGCAACGTGCAGGGGAACCAGACAATGGCCCTAGCCACCCCCCAAAGCTGGAGACCCTTGCAGCCTATCTCTTCCCAGCAGGCACTGAATTCAGCCAGGCTGTAACTCACAGTAGACATACTTCATCCTATCATCGATATTATGCTCGACTGATACTTTTCTCAGGTTCAGTACACTAGAATCCTGTCAGAAAACCCCGATGCCAGTTGAGTCCTATTATACAGTCTGTTTGATATCTTATCCTCCCTTCAAAAAACCTGAAATCTTCTGCTTGCCCACCCCTCGCTGCACCCCCCGAGGATCTTGATTTTGCATTTTTCTCTGAACAAAGGCTTTCTGAAAGCAGGAGGCCCTCAGGCTGCCTACTGCTACCGGCACTGGCTCTATCTGCTGCCTTGTTCAATCGAGCTGTGCTCCTCTCATTAGCATTAATAGGGAAGTTATTCTCACTGTATAGACTCTGCTTATTATTGGCTGTAACAGAAGGAATTGCACAGCAAAATAATAATACTCAAGCTGAAATTAAGCTCTGTTATTTTCATGCCATTGCTAACAGGACCAGGAGCCGATTTATTAAAACGATGAGTCAATCTCATGCCAGAAATTAGAGATATCGCTTGCAAATAAGTAACTTTGGTGTTCATTTCTCCTGCTTTCTCCCCTGCTGAGCTGCACTAGGCAAGGGTGCCTTCTGATAAGCAACATGTCAGCCTAATTATCCACAGAGATTTTAAGCTGAATATTTTCTCTCCGGACTAATATAAGCCAGATGTGGGAAAGGCATTGTTTTTATCAATCCTTCTATATACCCCATGACACTTGGTCACATGTGCATGCGTAGGTATGTGCATCACCCAGGAAAATAATCACATCATACACAATTAACAAGCTGAGTTGTCAGGTGCTATTTTGTTTGCCCTTCTTTCATAGGACTTGAGCGCTGCCTCCAAACAATAGTTCTGAGATAAGTGAATACTCTTAATGTTTATAGAATTCTTTCTCCATAGCCACAGAAGTGACTGAGCATGATCTTCTAGGTGTTTCACTGCAGGTAAAAAGAGAAGATTAAAAGCTACATGCTGTCTCTATGCTGTTATATGAGACCTTGAGAAGTAGCGAGGAAACACACCACTGAAGCCCATACTGGAAGCTTTGGTGCAGCCAGTGCTCTAGAGCCACCCAAGCTCTTTTTTCCTGAAGCCAGTGACAGAGCCAGGCTCTGCTGAGAGTGGACGCCTGCAGGATCTGCTGGGTCATACACAAACACCTCACTGAACTGCACAGGGTACAAGAGGAAGAGCTGCTGCTCATTGCTGGTGACAGCCAAGGTCAGACGTTGTTAGGTCCTAGCGAGCAGGGGCAGGTTTGCTCCCAGACCATCCCCCTCCAGTACAGGATATTCGCAGTACTGAACTTGGAGCCAAAGAGCTCAAGGAAACAGCTCAGTGGACGTGGGTTCACGAGGATTCCCAGCCACACCAGAAGCTGCTGTAGGTAAAAACCCCTCATTTAACAGCCTCAGCCAGAGATGCTCCTCATCCACAAGCATTAACTGGTCAGCTATTAGAAAGGGTTCTTGGGTAATTGCTGTCAAGACTTGGCTTTCACAATGTCAAATACATTTTAACAAGCTCCTTCTTACCTCTGAAACTGCTTCTGAGACAGAGAACCAATTCTCTTGGGTGGCATGCTGCAGAGGAGAGCAAACCCACTACAAACACCTCTGCTCCCTTTCAGAGGAAGCCACCACACCCTCCTCTCCTCACTGGAAATGCAAACCAGCAGCGGGTAACAACACTGACAACAGCTGCCTTGCTTTCGCAACATCAGCTCAGCTCAGTGGTCACACAAAGAATGAACACACATTTCCACCCAGCAAACAAAAGGTTAAGGACTTACAGACTGCATGTCCAAAGAAGGGCAACAAAGCTGGTGAAGGGTCTGGAGAACAAGTTTTATGAGGAGCAGCTGAGGGAACTGGGCTTGTTCAGCCTGGAGAAAAGGAGGCTGAGAGGAGACCTTACTGCTCTCTATACTTCAAAGGAGGTTGTAGTGTGGTGGAGGTCAGTCTCTTCTCCTAAGTGACAAGCGGTAAGACAAGAGGAAATGGCCTCTAGTCACACCAGAGGAGTTTTAGATTGGTTATTAACTTCACCAGAAGGGTTGTCAGGCATTGAAACAGGCTGCCCACGGAAGTGATGGAGCTACCATCTCTGGAGGTATTTAAGAGACAGGTAGATGTGCTCAGGGACACAGTTTAGTGGTGGACCTGCCATTGCTAGGTTAACAGCTGGACTCAAAGGTCTTTTCCAACCAAAATGATTCATTGATTCTATTCTACAATTCTATGATCAGAAATTGGTTCTCCTCAATTAATGAAGAAGATCTATTTCTCTCTTTGTCCCCAGAGGGCATTATTTTTCCTTTGACCCAAACTAGGGCAATTAAAAGGTGAAGGAAGAGTATTTTACTTTAAGGAGAAGGATGGGGAGCAGGACCTTTACAAACACTACCTGCCAGCAGACACCAACCTGCTTTGAGTGCAGGATAAGGGTCACAGCGAGGGGAAGCACAAGACAAAGCTCAGCACAACTCAGGGAAGATTTAAAAAAATAAATCAAACATTTTCACATCATAGACTAAATTGCATGAGAAGTTAGCTGGGTCTTGAACTGAGACCTAATTAAGCAAGATGTAAAATAACAAATCTCTTTGCTTTGTTCAGAAGGCTCTGAGAATGGGGACAGGACAGTAGTAAGGAAGATTTGGTTTTCTCGGCTTTTTGTGCAGATTTTCCTTCTCACATTAACTGCCTGCTATGCACATTTCTTTAAAAAAGGCCAAAGCCCAATAATTAAACATGGGACTTGTTGCTTCAGTGATGATGCTCATCTTGCCGTGCCTACTGTGACCACCAAAGGCAGAGATTTGCTTTCTGGCAGCATGGCTGGAAAACACAGGAACAAGCCGATCAAGCAGAGTAGAATGGAAGTGCCAAGCTACAACATCCAAAACACACCACAAACAGGAATAGTTTTTTTGTTGTTTATAAACCATTCTTATTCTTCCTCTTTGAAAGTCCTTCTGCAGCTTCTAAGCCAGCCTGAGCAGTACATTGAGCAACACTGAGCAACACTGAACTAGCTTGAGGATTAATATTTCACTGCTAGTCTTCAGCGCTAAAAAAAAATTTTAAAAAAAATTTAAATATGAGTATTGCAGGAAACAGCTGTATGATTCAACTTGCTTGGTATCCAGCCCAATGTAAAACTTGCCCCGAGACTTCTGGTTATTAACTGTAATCTTAAAAAAAGCACTATTACAAATATTCCCAAGTATTTCTGTGTTTACTTATTAGCATTATCTTTTCAAACTACCTAACAATTCAATGCTGTTTTCTCAATGAAAGGCAGCCCCTAATGCACTTGAGACAATATTGACAGCTAAGAAGGCAGCAGCCACTTGCATCTTAACTACAGTGGATTCCTCTTTGTAGGCTACAGCAAAGAGGACTCTTCCTTTACTTACTCCATTTTAATTTCTTTTGAGTATGGGAGAATAGGAAAACTGAAGGTAATTTCAAATATGTTGGCACTCTCCGCGAAGAATTCTATAAAAGCATAAAAATTAAGGGTTTTTTTTCTTTTTATATTTTCAACAGTAATACAAAAAATATGACATTGGTTCAAAAGTCAGATAAGGCCTGTGTTGGCAACTACAATTCTTTTATTGGGCATATTTTACTGAGCATTGAACACTTGTTTATGTAGGCACAGATTTAAGAATAACATCACAAAATAAAGGATAAAGTGCAGACCTGTACTGAGAAGCAGGCCTGGTAAGTCAGTCTACTCCTACTACTCAGCAAAGAAAGTAAAGGGGAAAAAAACTGCTGTTACAAGAGAAGAATTATATTATAAATTACGTCCTGTGGTAACAGGACTGTATAACCCAGGTCCCCTGGTGTACGATCACACCGTGTTTGTCGCAGGAAATATTTAAGTTAGACTCTGGCTTACACAAGTGGTTTATTTGTAAGAAAACTTTAAAAAGGTGTACAGATTAAAACAGTTCTCTTAACATAATTTCTTTATTTATTTCAGAATTATATTTCAGAATAAAAAATCAGGCGCTTAAAAACAGGTAACGACACCCCCTCAACATCGTTTCAGCAAACAGTGGCCAAGAAAGAGTGAAAGGGGGAAACCAATGTGATTCATGACTTTAAGCCAAAGTCTTTGCCAGATCTCATTCCTTTTTTTTTTTTCTCCCTAAGAAAAATCAGGAGAAAAATTGGTAAAGTCAACATATTCTTCTCTTTCCCCATCTCATAAGGGCAGTTTTCTACAGTGCTGAGTAACAGAAAAAAAAATTTAAAAATTCCAGAGCTTGCAAACATCAAAAAAAAAAAAAGGCAGAAAACAAGAGGGAGAATAAAAACTAACATAAGCTAAAACATTATTTTGTAGTAAACAATAGAATATAACGTGCAATAGTGCAATTTTTCCTTTGCTGCTCCAACAGTGAAGTCTTGGTATATAGTCCACGGCACATGAACGCGCGGCATCGTGCGCCTAACTACGTCCTTGTCGGGCACTGCTGGGTTTGCCGGGTTTCGGAGCAGAGTCGCTGTGTCCGGGCTCTCCCTTCCCCTTTCCGAGGTGGCGGAGCTTCTGATCCCAGCGCTGTACATTGAAAGGCAAAGAAGTTACAAAAGAGATAACGGAAGAAATAGTAAGTTGTAAGAAGATCGCATGTCTTCACAAACAGCGGCAAAAAATAAAAGTTTTTGGTAAAAGTAACTTTAAATCCAGAAACCATTTCCTGGCTTCCTTGTGGCCTCTGTGAATGGAGAAGTCGATATAAGGCATAGTGGCTTCAGCAGAAAAAAATCCCACCTTCTTAGTAAGAGAATTTAAATTAAACTATTTGTGCAGCTGCTGGAGGAAGCAACGTGAAAAAAAATTTTTTAATTATTGTTATTTATTTTTACTTTTCCACATAATAGCAACAGCAGTACAAAAAGACATAATAAATATAGTTGGTACAACTATTTCTTTGGAGAAGGAGATTATGATGAGAAGTGGGCTGGCAACATGGTGTGGTCCCTGGCAGCCCCAGGTGGGGCATGAGGGCCGAGGAATGAAGCGAGAAAATGAGAACCCCCAGAAAAAAACGGTATGTGACATTGACACCTGAGAACCGGAACTGTGCAGAAGGCAGCCCACAGCAGTAATGTGGTATTTACTCTGCAACCCTGGATTTCATAAGGTTCTCTCAGAGGAAGCAACAATGTGGAATCAGATCCCTGCATCTTTGTTACATCCACAGAGAACGTGAGTGAAAACGTGCGCAGATAATCTTGCATTTGCAAACAGAACAGTATTTTCCAGCCAGTCCCCATTAACATCATTGAAGAAAGCGTTGGGTGGAAAAGGAGACTGTTTTGCACAAGCACAAGTATCACGGTAAATCAACGGCTGAAAAATGATGTCAAATAAGAATATTCTGTGTAAAATGACACTCTTAACAACATCAAAATCACTGATACTTTGTGTTGCATCAAAACATAAAATGCAATCCTTCCGTAACTTGGAAGGCATTAGAATACACTTAAATTAGAAAAGTATAATTCTGACTGAGTCTGGAAAACATTTGTAAAGGTCTTTTCTTTTTTTTTTTTTTTTTAAAGTAGTATCACAATCCCAATTAAATAGGTGTGTTGTGCAGAATGCACAGTCTGTCTCAGAGTTAAAAGTCTCCTACTGATTGCTTTTTTGAGGTTTTGATAGCTTCTACACTGGTGTACTTTGGGGTAATTCAATGTATTCCTTTAGTTATTCAGCATGCATTTCTTATTAATATAGCAAATAACACACCAAGTTAATTTTTGATACTTCATTAACTGGCATTTTCCCTTATTTTGAAAAGAAGAGGTAGAAGCTTTGTGGTATCTCCAACATTTGACTTTTGGTGAGACCTTTGCTTACCTTTACTTTTTTACCAAGACGATCCTTCCATTTCTCAGCTATGGAGCCTTCCACCAAGAGTAACCTACACAACCAAGACAACCAGTTACCATCAACAGGCATCCACAAGCTGTACAACCCAACATATGCAAGACTAAGGTCTCCGTGCCTGCAGAGAGCCTCGCCCCCACTAAACACCACAAGGGAGATTCACACCAAGTTTTCCTTTCTTGGTGGCTTTGAAGTTCAGGTCTATGGGCAGGGGAACAAACAGCAACATATTTGCTCCGAGAACAACGCAGAAAGAGTTACCTGGAGCGCTCCTCATCTTCGTAGCCCATAATGATGTACTCTTCATTGGCGCTGAGCGGTGGGCACAGGCAGCCAGAGTTTGTGTGAAGGTTTACAGTGTCCTTTGGGATGTTCACCAAGGAAGATTTTAGGATCTCCTTTACTTCCACTACTGCAGTGACGTCATGACATTTAGTCTTTACCTCCTTCACTTTGGCCCGAATGACTGGCAGAAAGTGACAAAGAGTGCAGTTAGCAGCAGTAGATAATGCAGGTCACCCCCAAGCCAATACTGGTGACCTCTGGGATTAGTCTTTTGCATGGTCCATTATCAAAAGCTTAGCTGAGCTCCAGAAATGTTCCTGCCCCCAACTCCTCATTACTTCTTCCTCCACCAAAAGGGTCCAAGTAGCTCAGCATATCTCAGAAAAGCAGGGTCACAAGCAGGAGTTATATACCACTTGGATTTATGTCCTGTTTAAGTAGGGCTTTAACTTCAGCATCCCTTCTTATTTGTCTGTCCCACTTTA